CTCCACTCCACCTCCCCCCCTCTCTCCCTGCAACTTCAATGGCACACCCGTCCTTGTATAACTCCTTCAGCCAGAACCAACCTTCTACGGCCAAACCTGTAGTTGCAGAGAACTGGGGGGTGTCTTGGAACTCGGGTCTTCACTTCGGTTATCCTGCAAGGCCCCGAGGTTGATCCTCCGAATAAACACTCTAATACCTAAGTTAACAATATTCAAAGCTACCAGCTAAGTTTGAGGTCGGTTTCAAGTATCTTTCTGAGGTGGACCCTGAGGGGTATTTATAGGCCTTCAAGGAGGTGTCCACGTGTTGATCCTTCCGAAAAACCAGGGTAATGCATGTCAACCATCGTAGGTATCTCTCATGAGGAATTTGTGTGCGTACGGAGCTACTGTGGAGCGGCAGCAGAGGGGACGAGCTCGAATTCTACTGAGCTCGTCGCTCTTTGATCAAGTCAAGGTAACTAGATTGCTGGGAACGGTTTCAACTGTCCGAGGTTAACCTCGGACTACTATGAGGTGCATGACCTCTGACTACCAACATACCTCTGATACCTCATGACCTCTGACTACCAGCATACCTCTGATACCTCATGATCTCTGACCATATGAGGTGCATGACCTCTGACTCCAACATACCTATGATACCTCATGACCTTTGACTACCACCATACCTTTGATACCTCATGACCTCTAACTACCACCATACCTTTGATACCTCATGACCTTTGATACCTCATGGCCTTTGACTACCACCACTACAAAACCCACCAAGCATGCAACAACTCCGCCCACCACTTCATCTCCGTGACGTTTTCCTTGCCTCTACTATCTCCGGTAGTTTGCCACCTTTCAAGCTCTTGGCGGCCATCAAAATGCTCACAAGCGCGAGCGAGACGCTACTAGGTAGGCGGCCAAACCCACCAAGCATGTAGCACCTTCGTCCACCACCTCATCTCTGCAACGTTTTCCTTGCCTCTACTGTCTCCGAAAGTTTGACACCTCTCAAGCTTTCGGCGGCCATCAAAATGTTAAGAAATATTAAATAGTAGAAGAATAAAAGAATTGTTCTGAGGCGTGATCTCACTTTCCTTAAGGATTTAAAATCCTTCATGATATAACAGAACTCAAAACTCTCTCAGAATTAGATCTAGAACTCTGACATTGCATAAGAATTTATAATACTTGAAAAGTCACTATTTGAAGGGATGTATCCCTCCAAAAGACATCATTTCATAGAGGTACCTTTTGACTGCCAATAATTATGTCTTTTCAAATTATAATTTAATAAAATAAAATAAAATAACCAAAAAAAAAATTAAAGATATTCTGGCGGTCAAGTGCCCAAGTGCCCAAGTGCCCATCTTTTGACTATATATAAAGGGTCAAGACCCAATTTTCCTTGAGTTTCACTTTACTTAATTATTTGTTAATAAAGAATAGGCATTTATAAACTTCTTTAAGTTTCTATACTTTCTTAATGTGAGATCTCAAACATTTACAAACTATTCAACATTCCCCCACTAGTTTGGAAATGTTAATTCAATTCTACTTGACAAGTAACATGCTTAAAGAAGGTATCATTGTCAAACATACAAAAGCTCCTTTTTGTCAAAGTAACACCATTGATGTATCTAATTAACTTTTTTGATAGCAAGTGAGAAGCCCATGAACTAAAAAGGGGGCAAATAAGCCCTCCAACCCCATGTTTAGTACAAATCAACCCCTCCATTAACTAACTCCTTGACACCGTTTGTTACTAGCTTGCATGGCATTGCATGCATTTACGTGTTTTTTCTCTTGCCTTTACTTCATTTGTTTTAAGTGATAATATATTTTTTAAAATTAATTAAATTTTTTGGTAAATCAATTAATTAATATTATATAAGATACATATGTTTAGGTAATATTTTTTCCATAAAATAATGATACGTTTTTTATTTTAATCAATAATACATTATACTTTCATAATCTTAAAAAATCACTTCTTAAATTTAATTAAACTACCTAATTAATAAAGCATTTTTTTAACATATCCTTATTGTTGTCATTAATTATTATGAAAGGATTTTCTAACCTCTACTCTTATGGCACATATTAAAAATATAATAAATATATTTTTTGTCATAAATTTATATTACAAGAATGCATGTTGACCTT